GGTTGTGGACTCTAGCTTCTATTTTGCACATTTATATACACTACAAGAAAAAGGCGACCAATATTTAGCGACAGGTTAAGAATCTGGTCCTTAAAAGCATACTTATATTTTTTTATATAAGTCTCGAATTTTATATTTTTAACGGGCAAAAATGATCAATAATGGGTCATCAATAATGGGTCACTAGTACTCCAACTCGAGCGGGACTAAGCGCCAACATCTATTTGGCTCCTGAAAAAAATAAAGAAAAGCTGCAAAATCACTCTCTCAAAAACATAAACCTAATTTCACCTCTCAAGAACATGACTGTGAGAGACGATCGAGGGAAGTTGAAATCTGGCAAAAGACAATCAACGATCGTTCTTCTGGCAGTGCCACCCACTATTCTCTTCATCTCATTGTCCCTTTCTCGCTTTCTAAAGTATCAATTTTAATCGCCGCCGTCTGCCGAAAAACCCATCACTGGCAAACCTAGTCAAATTCGCAGTTGCAAACTCTCCAAAATCCCTAATCTTTTTAATGCTCTCCTCTGTTTCATCATTCTATGCTCTAAAGCTCCCTATTTTCCTCTTTAATTTGAGTAAGCTAAGTGCTTGGTCTTCAGTCTATTCTTTGTAGCCTTCAGTTTTGATTTGAAATATGAAAATATTTCTGATTATCTCTAAATGTGTGATAGAACATTGTTGGGTTCATGTGTATTTGATTGCCTCCATTAGTCTGTTGTAGATACATGTATTTAGGGATTTAGATGCATATTGCCTTATATATATGCACCATTCATTTGCACCATTTTGTGGAGTCCCCTTTGTTGTATGTCCATATTGTACCTGTTGTGTATAATTCTGCGTGTCCAACTCGTTTGTTTGCAAGATGAAGTTTCATCATAATTGTCTAGAAAAGGTCATTTTTGTTCTACACTGTTGAGATTATCTTATTTTGTGTCTCTTCCTTGATTAGGTTCAAACCACAAGCCATCATTATGATTTTTAATTTTATAGTTAATGTTCGGATTCTGTGGGTACTTGATTAGTGAGTTATTCTGAGGTTTTCAAATGATAGCTTTAGGCTTTGTGTGAATTATGTGATCCGTTTAGCTACTGCTTAATATGCTCCGTAGGAACCAGTGTTGTAAAGTCTCTCTTTTTGTTTGTCTTCCTTGTTGTAATTTGGCATAAGATTTTTGGGTTCCACAAAATTGATACTAAAAGAATCTTTGTAATCTAGTTATTTATTAGATACCTCTAGATCTCCATACAAGTAGCTATGAACTTGCTTTGTGACAAAACTAGAGAATACCAAATTGTTCCTTCCTTCGTTGTATTTCAGGTGAAAATCCTATCATGAAATGTTCCAATGGATATAATTTTATTTACCTATGGTAGTTAATTTGCTAAGTCATGAATATTTTGGAAGTTTCTTGGAGTTAAGATCTTAGCAAACGCAAGTGATGCTCTTCGTTGCATCAAATGAATGTGTGTTTGACAGTTGATTTATCTTACTAGGCTACTAGCTAAGGAATCTCACTACAATATCATGGATGTACGTCAAATGACAATCAACTTCAAATTATTGCAACAAATGCCATGAACTTCTATGATCTATGTGTATTATGCTCTAACTTTTTTCCCCGTGCTTTTGGATTTCCTCGGGTATATCTAGTACTCTTATTTCTTTTGTCGACCATGCATGGATAGTAGAGGGTGTTTCTTTGATCTTTGTTACTCTTAATCTAGAGCAATCGTTGTTGGTCTCTTTGCAACTTTGCTCATTGGTTTGATGGAGAGATAAAGACTAATATGTGGGATTGTGGGTCACTAGCTTTTAAGTAATTAAATGATATGCAGTACCCGTCTTAGTGGAAAATTTCCTGCGATAATGAAAATTGGCTTGTTATCCTAAATATCCTATTGACTTTTCGAGTGGTGGAAATTCTATTAGTCATTGGAAGTATGATGTTAGATATCTCTTGCTTTTGATGACTTTCCCTTGCTCACCTTTCAAGGTAGTACCTCTTACGTTCTTATTCAGGACGTTGTTCTGTTACTAATTTAATTGCATTTTCTAAGCTTATCAATTTTTCTGTTCTACTGGGTTGATAACAATGAGTTCTCTATTCATGACAACTATTTTTTCCTTTTACAGTTAGTATAACTTTTTGCTCTATGACTTCTCCTTAGAGCTTGAACATTTTTCGTGTTCTATACAAATAATTATGCAATTACCTTTTATTTTTCTCATCATGTAGTAGCTAGCATCAGCTAGTCAAATGATAGTCCATGAAAGATCATTTCTTCAGAAACTGCAAGTCTATTTATTCCAAACTCATAGGATCCTTATATTACTAGTGTGAGGTAATGGAAAATAACATAATTTTACCATGTTCTCATCATCGTGTACATCAAAGACCGACACTTAACTTCTCCATTCAAAAGTCACCTGGTTTTCGATTCCCAATACAATGATGTTCTTCCATATTCTTTATATAGTGATTTAAGTGAAGTTTCTATGCACTTTGAAAGGTGCATTTGTTGGGCAGGAATATTAGTAGTAGTTCCATAGTAGGTTATTTATACAACATATACATTTACCATTTTTTTTTAATTAAATTTCCCATGCTGGGGGTTGTATATTTCATCAGAACAGAGGATTACAAAAGGGTATGTCCTTGCCCTTGAAAATACAACATAAGGATAAATAGCTATCCTTCAAAAAAAGGGGGGTAAGGAGAAATATATACATCCCTAACCCATTACAAAGCAATTAGTTAGCTCACAAAAAAATTTGCCTTATCAAATTTGGTTCTAATACTAGGCATCTGATTCTTGTCTAGCTGGAAAGGGCCTTTTGCACCTTTGGGGAGTTGTTGAAACGTAAAGAAGTATGATTCTATTGAAGAAGTAGTCGCTAGCTTAGCTAGGTAATCCGCCACTTGATTAGCCTTTCTATAGCAGTGAACGACATTAACATTGGCTTCCTGAATCATCTGAGAGGTACACTCCATGATGTTGTTCAACTTATAGTTGCTGGTTCTATTTTCTTTGAGCATATTTGCCACAATCAATGAATCCAACTCCAACGTGAAGCCTATGTAGCCATTTTGAACACACCAATTACAACCAAACCAAGCAGCCTGCGCTTCTATGTAATTGTTGCTACTCCCCTGAGTTGAAACTGAAAAAGCCATAATTAAGTTTCCCTTGCCATCTCTGAGAATACCTCCAATCCCGGCTTTTCCATTCTCCTTGATGAAGCTGCCATCCGTATTCATTTTAAAGTAGCCATCCTCCAGTTGACAATAATAGCTTTAGGAATAGGCTGAAGATTTTGAACTTTTTCACAGTAGTTGTTCCAAGGCATTGAGATTTTACAACTAGGGAAGGCTTTGGCGACTGCAGCTCCAATGATCCAAAAAACTTGATGCTCCATTCTAACCAAGTTGAACTTCTTTTGACTACCGTATTTGCAAGAACGCCTTTCTTTCCAAATTGTCCAGCAAATAATAGAGGGGGTAATTTGAAGAATCAACTTGTGAACTGCATTTCGCTCCTTAACCTGCCACCACTTGTTAATGGTGTATCTAACTGCCCTTTGATGATGAATAATTCCTAAGGAGGAACCTATTAGTTTCCAGATATAACTAGCTGCTTCTCCTTCCATGAAAACATGTTGAATGGTTTCATTTTTAGGATTAGCACAACAGTTACATCTAGAAACTATTTGTCTTCCAAAGTTGACTATCACATCATCAAAAGGAATTTTTCTATACCATAATCTCCGAGTAAGAAAAGAAATTTTAAAAGGGATAGAAGAATGCCATACCTTACTTAGCAGATGCTCCTTTGGTTTACTCTTTCTGATAAGTTGCGCAGTAGTCTTATTGGAGTATCTTCACATATACATTTACCATTCATATTTGGTTTATGCTGAGTAGTAGGACCAATAACGTTACATCTACTTATTACTTATCAGGAGGTTTTCTCAATTGAATAAGTGAAGAAGTAAGCTTCTTAGTATGTCATTTCAGCTCACTAGTTCCTGCTATTTTTTTAAAGCTATTGCCAAACCAGAGTCTGAATATTCTTGGTTCATCGTCTAGTTTCAGAAATATTGCTAACCTTCAAATCCAGTGGATAATTTTCTGACATAAACGGTGTAGTAGATATAGTAGCTCTCTAATAACAGCTTGGATGTTTAGTCTTTCAATGCACTTGTATGGTACTAGAATATTTTGGTTCAAGCAGATGGCAGAGTAACTAGAAACTAAAATTTGGAATGCAACCCCTGATTTCTTACGAACTGGAATATATTTTGTGCGATTGGTTTGTGGACATTTTTCTTTTCTCTAAACAACAAGTTTATACATTTTACAGGATTTGGAGACTCTAGTTTACAAGTCAAGATGCAAGTTTGATTATCTGAATTAGATATTGTATAATATCTTTGGAAAACATGATATGGAAAGAGCATGTATTATTCATGTGTCACAATTTCTGGCAATAAATTGTTATACCAGCTTTTTGGTCGAAATTATAAATAGACTTGGAGGACCAGAATTTTGGTCACCATAATAGAGCCAAGTTCCTGAGGTGGGATTCTGATAGCTGAAACCACCAACCAGAACTTAGAAATGAATGATCAACCAATATCCCAGCATCATACAATAGTTTCTGTAGAATAACTACATCTTCTGAACAACAAATATTGAAAAGAAAAAGAAAAGAACTTGTCAGCCTTATAGAAATCCATCTTGAGCTGCACATTTGAATTTCCATTAGCACGAGATATCCTTAAAACAAGTATCAAATATCAAATGCACAAATACAAGTAGATAGAGGAGTACAGTACACCATGGAAGTTTTTGGGCCATCGTACATGCTATTCACCCTTAAATCTTTGCAATAATGAAAGTTGTCATGAATACGTACCAATAAGATAGTGACCACATTTTGCAATAATGAGATTCACATAGTTGCTTATTCATGGCATTTGTAGGATAAGTGATGCTGGAAGATCAAGATGATACATTTTGCCAAGATAGGGCTTTGGTAAAATCAAATTTAGCATTGAAAAAAACTATTAAAAGTGAAATCCAATGCCACTAACAAAAGTGTCGAAACCCAAATCATTAACACAATAATTCTTATTACAGTTTACAAGCAACATATTTACTCACTTCTGCAATTATCCAAGTTGAGAGAGAAATTGGAGAAGAAACCAATGTAACCAAATTAAGTGGTCTGTCAAAATGCGCACGTGCACGTGGTTTGGAAGCTACATGAGTCAGAATCTAATGTTGCGGCATGTGACAACTTTGGATTTTTTGTTGTTTCTTATTTTGGAAAAATGTGAGATGATAATTTCTTTCCTGTTTCTATGAGTTGATTGGAATTGCACTGATATTTAATTTATTCGGAGCTATTAGAGCGGGATCCACCTTTTGGGGAATATGAGTCGAAGCAATAACAAGAATATTTCTAGTAGAACATCTTTCACAATCCCTTGAGAGATGGTTCACTAATAGAACTAATTTGATCCTGAAAATAATAGAATAAGTAAAGAATTACGCAATACTTAGCCTTAAAACGGTGGACATAAATACCAAATTCCCTGTAACGGGTCGTCGCCCTTAATTCCGTGTGAGGGCATTTAACACACCTTTATGAATGTTATACCTTCCGGTGACAAGCGGAATAACCGTTTTCAGACTTTGGCCATCTCCGTCTTGGGTTCCACTTGTCTTTCCTTTATATGACCATGTATCATATCTCATATATAT